ATAAGCATATTTCCCCCAAATTCTCATGATTGTAATAAATAAATAATTAAATGATTTTTATAGATCATAGTATTTATTTAAGGCCAACTGAGAAAAAATAATCATTGTACTAGTAATGTTTTTCTTTTTGATGTTTGGATGAAATATGGCTTGCACAGATAAGAAGCTGCAGTTTGTGGTCAGTTATTAATACTGCGTTTATTAATAATATTGATTATTTCTACAATAAAGCGGTGGTAAATTGTATTAATCCTCGGTATCATCAAATAATAAGTAGTAATGACAGTTGTATTTTGGTAGAAATTGACTACTATATTTATAAGGTTTTGGCTGTCTTAGTTTATTGTGTCAATATTAAATCGATGCGATGTGATGAACCATTGCTTCCATGCATCATAATTCAGTTTAGTGTTCTGTTGGTTACAAATACATTAAATGCATGCGTACATACTGGAAATTGATTGAGCCTGATTAAGGGAAGTATTTATGCTTGCATCGACCAGATCCATAATTCACTGCCTATTGGAAACCACAATATTTACAATTATAATGGCCACTCGACTGTGAACATGATTCATGGCGCATCTCCTCTAATGCTCTAACAAGGGCTCCACATAAAAGCTAAATTACATGCTACACAGGATCATAAATAATCTCATAAAACATGTCGTTGCTATTTTCCTTTGTGTTCAGATGAAAGATGGCTGTATTTTGTGTTTCTATACGAGGAAACGGATTAACTGAGGTGTCATGGAAACATCTATGCATGGTTATCCAGCTCTATACGTCCTAGTAACGCATTTTGCAGTGTTTGTTGAGAATAGCTCATTAAAAAGGTTTTATATAGGGTCCCACCAGCCCCCTCTTTGTTTGTTTGTTGTGGTTGTTGTGTTAGCTTACAGAATGTGTTTTTTGTAAAGCTGCTATTTTAAATGGCTATTATGTGAGCATGTGTGCACGTTCGAGTGTGCGGGGGACACCAGCTCCTTCTGTCACAAGGGCTCCAGATGGTACGAGGAAAAAGCCTTGCTTTAATCTCACGTCCGGGATAAAACACAAACACACCCTGTCCCGCTCAAAATGTAACTTACTTTAAACTTGTTTCACTGTTTGTTGAACTGACTGACTGTTTTGTCACTTCTCACTTTATTCAGTGAGTTATCTATCATTCATCACTGCGTTTTCTCTCTCTTTACTTCCCCATTCTCTTTAGTTTTCTCTCAGTAGCGTTACCTTATTAGTGTGGTCTTATATTTTCAGCTGTGCGCTTTATAAGCTGCATGTGTGTCAGTGTGTGCCTTCATGCACACATGTGTGTACAATTGGCAACCACATGCCACTTGTTTACCGATTGGCTTTCATCATTTATGTGTGTTAGAAATAGAGTACATTAACACAGCTCTCACATGCCCTAGATATTACAGCAGAATTAATTACTGGTGAGTCTCTGGAGATTTACTTTTCTTTTGTTTTGCTACAAACGCTGGATTAATATACTCTCATCCTCTCTATTCACACACAGACCTTCTGCTCCTTCTGCTGTTTTTATCATCCAAAAGACATATATCTACTGCAGTTGTTCTGCAGTCATACTATTATGCATAGTACAGTTTTATGTTTTCACTTTTAAGGGAAAAATTATATTTTGCATACAGATTATGATTATTTATTTAATTACTTTGCATTATTAATTTTGCATCATTTGAAGCTTTCAACTTCGTATGCATTAGCCTATAGAATTTCATATAATTAAATGAGGTGTATTTTTATTTATTTAGTTTGCATTGTGAAATTTTAAGATTAAAATCTGTATAAATTCTAATTTGTCATATAATTAAATTAAGCCTATTCATTGTGTTTGTTTATTGTGGCATTAATTTACACTTCTAACTTTGAATAAATTGTATAATTGTAATTATTTAGGCCTATTTTGTTTATTTATTTTGTATTGTGACATTATTTTAAGCTCCCAACTTTGTATAAATTATATATAAATGATATAATTTGTATAATTTATGTAATTTAAATCATTTCAATTTTAAAAAGTCTTTATTTAATTTGATTTGTTTTTGCAATCGTACATTATTTTAAAATTCCAACTTTGTATATTTTGCAAAAGGTCCTTTTGTATTCCAACAGGACAGTGCTGTGTGCAATAAGCAAGGTTCATATCAAAATCATTTACTGAGTCTTGTGTTAAAGACCTGGCCTGCTGAAAAGCCAGACTTGAACTCCGTTGAACACCTTTGGGATGAAAATGTCTAAATGGGATCAAATCCTCAAGGCATCTTCCAACATCTAATGAAAAGTCTTTCCAGAAGAATGGAGGCTGATAGCAGGACCAACTCTTTATTAATACCAATGGTTTAGTGTCATTTACCATTTGGTACAAATTTTTGCAGATCTCTTCCTGCTCTTATTTTTAACCCACCCACGTGTTTCTCAGTATCTTTATCCCCCTCAGTTTCCATCTGTATCTACATAATTTAGGATCATGAAAACGGCTCAAAATACCTTCTGGAAACTACCAAAAGAAGTACAGAGAATAAAACTAATTAAATATATCTCTTGGTGTCTTTCAGATAAAGCTGGCAACCCCAGCTGCTTTCCCTCCAAACAATCTGAGGAAGAGGAGCCTTGTGTTGGGGTGAAGATCGCTCAGAACAAAGGTGGGCAACAACCTTCTCTTCCTCTGCTTCCTAATCGGTCTGTTCCTTTCTCCATTTGATAAGACTTCTAGCTCTGATCCTTGGGAGTCTACCATTTACTGGAGTTGTTGATGCATGTATGGTGTGTCAGATTGAATCTTTTCTAAAAAAAAAAAAAAAAAACTGTAGCTGCGAGCTGTTGGATTTATGATTTGCTGTAAGAGATACTTTTATGTTATGTAATAGTAGTTTAAGGCTTATTATGGGAATGAATAGGTATGACTGAGCCACACTTACTGTACATGCAATGTGGTCAGTGATTCATCAACCTCAGATTTTAGTCTGATCACCCTTGTTTTTTCACCCAGCATTGTTCTGTTTTCTCTGCATTCTGTTCTGTTTTCTCTGCATTCTGCATTCTTTTGTTTCTCTTGAATAATTGAAGAAGGTTAACATGAAGACCAATTTGTAGAATTTTGTAGTTATATCAGACCATATTTGATGCTTATGTGGGGAACGATCACTGGGCCAATGAATTTAAACGGTGAGCTACCCAGCACAACACCACATGAATGGAAACCATTCAATCTAAAAAATATAATTTTTCTTGTGATTTCTAAAGCTAAAAAAATACTTTACATGGAAGAAATAGCTTTTATCGCTTTGGATAAAAGTGTTCAATAAATGCCACTTAAATTCAAAAACAAGAATACATATTGTGCTGTAAGTGTCTCCGTGTGTCAACAAAGGCCTCGTCAACTTCACAAAGTTTGCTTTCATTTGTTAGATCGATATTTCCTAGAAAGCTTTTGTTCTCCAGACCTTATATGGGAATACAAATGGAAGTCTGTGGTGACAAGACTTTACAGTAGTTAAGTCTGGTCAGACTTGTTTAAGCGAGGCATGAATGCTGTACTGAACTTATTTTAATTGTAGACTTATGATAATGCCAAATGTAAGAGATATCATTGAGTTGAATATATGAGAATTTCACCTTTATGTGATCTTATAACTTAACCTTATAACCAGGTGGTTAATGGTGGGGTTTTGGTTCTGAGTATTTGACCTATAGTGGTTTTTAATTGCATAGATGCTTTGTACAGTTTGTTTAACCATCACATACTATATCTCATATAGGCTACAACTAAAAAGTTAGATTTTTTAAAATAAATATATTTATTCAGCAAGGATGCATTTAATGGTTTAAAAGTTTTGTTTCAAATGAATGCTGTTCTCTGAACTTTCTCCTCAAAAATGTTTTACACTTTACACAAAATATTAAACAGTACAACTGTTGCCAACTAGTGCTTACTAACTTACTAGTGGATTCAAAAACGTTGTTTTTGAAAAATCGTACTGACCCCAATCGTTCGAACAGTGGCGTGTATATATAGTGCTGGACGGTATGACCAAAAATGTATATCACAGTATTTTTTAAAATTATTCTGTTTTCACGGTACATGACGGTATTTTTTTTTTCATGCATGACCGGGTGTTAACCATATTTTCTACTGATTGAGAGAGGAAATACTGCAGTATATTGACTTAGAATGCCCTATTTTACTGTCATGGTGAGTGAATATTGTCAAAAAATACCACCTTAAATAGTGACTAAATACGACCCCTTTTAATACATGTTAACCAGGAGTCTCTCTCATTTATAATCGAGGCATCGTCTGATAAAATCAACATGCATCTACACTAAAGAGCGGCTATGCGGTTATTTTGGCTATATTACTTTTTTGTCTCATGCAGCACTGACTGCGTCTGAGTAACAAACTAAAAAAGACAACAAACAAAAAAGTGCATGTGATATTAACAGATGAACTACTC